CTGGGTCCCCAGAGACTTGCCCGGAACTGGAGCTCAGAATCTGAGACTCCCTCCCGATTGAAAACACCAACCGCGCCCTCAGCTACCAGCCCGCTCCGCGCGTACCTCCGCACATTTATAAATACGCCTCCTCCGAGTCTCGTATGCTGTTCTCTTTCCTTCTAGTTGAAGAATTTCCCCTCAGCCAGTCTTCCTGTGGTTCTGGGTGATGTCCGCTCCGTCTTTTAGTTGTATTTTGAAGTGGTTGTTCGAGGCAGCTAACTCCGGTGTTTACCTATGCTGCCATCTTGGTTTCTACATCCAGAACACCTGCTCTGTCTTCACCGTGCTTTTAGTGCAGCTGAATAAAGCCTTCCTTGTACACTGGAGGGGACTTATACCATTCCTGGAACCTCAAGCATCAAAAGATGTCCATTGTCAATACTGGAAGCTCCCATAGTGTAAAATTACTAGAAAAATTGGAGGATGAAGTTCCTGGGCCACCCTCTCTGTCATTCTAAATAGGAACCAGTGGTCTGGCCCCCAGAAGTGTCCCCGATGCTCTTCACTGCTGTCCATGCCATCCCAGGAGCAGTTTCTAAGACTTAGAAAGTTTTGTGTTAGCTCCTGCAGGGCAGGGATCCCTCTCCTTATTGATTTTTTACAGAGAAGAAGGGAGAGGGATAGAGAGTTAGAAACATCGATGAGAGAGAAACATCGATCAGCTGCCTCCTGCACACCCCGCACTGGGGATGTGCCTACAACCAAGGTACATGCCCTTGACCGGAATCGAACCTGGGACCCTTCAGTCCGCAGGCCGATGCTCTATCCACTGAGCCAAACCGGTTAGGGCTCTCTCCCATCATTGATGTTTCTATCTCCCTCTCCTTCCTCTCTGAAATCAATACAAATTATATATATAAAGGAAAGTTCATTGATACACTTGCTCCCCTCAGGAACTTATTTCAGGGAAAAGCGACAGAACCGCGGACAGCACCAAATGAGACAAAGCGCTGGGTGCGGAGAGGCGGCAGCACCACGGACAGCGACCGCACTGCAGCTGGGGTGAGAGGTGGGGAGGGGCGACGTTATCAGCTGACTCTGACGTAGCCTGGATCCCCTGTCTGATAAAGCTGGTCTGGGTGGGCACGCTGGGATTCCCTCCCCGGAGCTGCAGCCCCAGACCGGGTGGGGCAGGGGCAGCGGAGGCAGGTCCCCGAAAGCACCAGGTCCCGGCTTGGCTTCCCGCATGCAGTCGAGGCTGCCGCCTGCCGCCTGGAGCGAGGGGCGGGCACACGGGCAGCGCGCCTGGGAGTCCTGTTCTGACGCACCACCGTTTTCGCCCAGCTTCTTCCCGGCTTGGGAGATGCTCCAAGGCGGGGAGCCCCGGGCGGGCTGCGGCAGCTGAGGCGGGCCTGGCTGAGACACGGCTCCCGGGCCCGCTTCCCGAG